TGTAGTCCAGGCTGACCTGCAACTCTCAGTCTCCTGCTTCTGCCTCCCAGGTGCCAGGTTGATAAGCCACACCTGGCTAGATGTGTCTTTTAAAACATTCCTTGTCTTTTTTATTTCAGTTTCTTCAGATGGAGGGACTGAGTCCTCTGCCTTAGTTGATGACAACGGTAGTGAGGAGGACTTCAGCTATGAGGACCTCTGCCAGGCCAACCCTCGGTATCTGCAGCCAGGAGGGGAGCAGCTGGCCATCAACGAGGTACTGGAATTCCACATGACAAATATCAGACCCTTGGTCTCCAAGGTGCAGAACAACCTTGGGCTTTGATATTGAGCTCTGATTAGAACAGTGCTGTGGGTGAGGAAAATGTCTATAATTAAGCTCCACAGATAACAGATGCTCATTCCTGTATGTACTCAGGGGTTGATAAGCAGTTGGGCTTGCTTTCCTACCTGTTCTCCCTTTCATCATGCAGTTCTCACTACTGATCAAGAGGTGAGCATTAACCTTTGTGAACCACGTTTTCATTAAAGCCTGGAGATGAAGAGGTGGGACAATTTGCAAATGCAGAGCTGGAATTAACCCTGTATTTCTCACTCTCGATCTGGTGGATCTTTTCTACCCCACTGCAGCATTGCCCCTTTTTAGAGAAATCTTTGCAGAAGGCACCTCCAGCTTTTGGTGCTCTTGAGCACAGTGTGTGGAACATGACTGCAGCAAGTCCACATTCCCCCCGACCCCAAAATCATCAGGCATCACTGTGTAACCCGACACAGGCTGAGCAGCCCTAACTGGAAAATCCAAAGTCTCTGAAATCTGCACACCCCCTGCTCCTGCCCCTATGAGCAGACGAGCTATGCCTGTTCTTCACTTTTTCAGTAACTATTAAATGCCCCAAGGTCATGTGTGTGTTCTCTTAACTGCAGTACTATACAGCTAGACACAAGGCTTACACCAACTGGAAATAAAGCATGAGTAACTGGTGTGCTGTGGGCAAAGGTGGGAGGGGCTTCCAGTAAGTGCCCCACGTCAGGAAGCTTGCCAGGACACCTGGTTTGGCTGCTCCAGTTTTGGAGCCAATGAGCCAGGTATTCAAATTCGTTAGATAACTCGCCCATGGCTAAGTGAGCTACTTACACAGATGGGGTGGATTTACAGTGATTTATCCTAGGCTGTTTTGACTTTAGCATGAAGTGAGGGTAGCCTGCATGCCCTCCTTGGAGACAGTACTTCACATTTTGAGTTTTGATCTTTCCTTGGGCTAGCATAAAAACCACCGGTCTATTTTCACCTTCAGTACAGTATTTAGTAAATTGCACGAGATACTCAACCCTTTATTGTAAATAGGCTTTGTGTTAGGGCGTTTTGTCCAACTGTAGGTTAATTGGGCTGTCTAGGCATGTTTATGGGATCTATGGGAAGTTAGGTACATTAAATGCATTTTCAATTTACAGTGGTTATCAGGCTGTAATCCCATTGTAAACTGAGGAGCATCTATACATCTTTTTTTCTTTTTTTGGTTGTTTGAGACAGAGTCTCACTATGTAGCCCAGGTTGTACTGAAACTTGCAATCCCCCTGCCCCAGCCCCCCAAGGGCTGGGATTACAGGTGCCACCACTATACCTGAGCATCTGTACGTCTTTCTGAAGTAGATCTGGGTTTTCCTTTAAGAGCAGGTCAGAAACTCCCACCTGGTACTCATTTCTCCTGTATGTTTTCTTCTATTAATTTTGTATAACCAATCAAGCTGGATGCCCCCAGGGTATCCACACAAAGACTAGGAGGTGTCAGTGTTAACCCTGAGAAAGTCCCTATTGCTGCTCTTTGCCATCCTGCTCACTGTGCTCTGTGTTCTGTGCTAAGCACGCCTGCCTGTCTTTCCCCAGCTGATCAGCGATGGCAGTGTAGTCTGTGCAGAAGCGCTGTGGGACCATGTGACCATGGATGACCAGGAACTGGGCTTCAAGGCTGGGGATGTCATCCAGGTCTTGGAAGCCTCTAACAAGGACTGGTGGTGGGGTCGGAACGAGGATAAGGAGGCCTGGTTCCCTGCCAGTTTCGTCAGAGTAAGTGTGGCCTGGGTGCCTTTTCAGGGGTTTCCATGGGTGTCTCAAATTGGCCCAGGCAGAGCTCACTCTTCACTTACATTCAGATCTTTTGCAATTGTTTTTAATCATGCACTCAAGTCAGACCTGTTAAGTATTAGGTTGGTCAGAGTAAATTGTAATGAAGCAAATGAGTCCTGGCATTGCTGCTGGTTCTTGGGCCTGGGACAGCTCTGTTGCTCTGCTAAGTACATGAAGACTTAACTAGGGCCAGGCTCCCTCATACCTGGTCACAGTGAAGTGAAATCAGGGAGAACTCTGTCTTGCTTCTGTGCCACTGCCCCTTCCCCACGTCACCTGCCATCTGTGTGTGGATTGCAGCTCCGAGTCAACCAGGAAGAGCTGCCAGAGAATTCTAGCAGCCCCCTTGGTGAGGAGCAGGAGGAGGATACTGGCAAGTCCCGCCACAAGCACCCTGAGAGCAAGCAGCAGATGCGCACCAATGTCATCCAGGAGATCATGAGCACCGAGCGGGTATATATCAAGCACCTCAAGGACATCTGTGAGGTGAGCAGACGCCAGGCCCGCTGCCTAACGTGCCTTGTGGGGTCCTCCGCCCTCCCCAGCCCTTACACTGCACGCCTTGCTGCACTCCCCCTTCCTCCCTCCACTTGTCCACTCGGGCCTGTGCACACCGTTCCGCACCGTCCACTGCATGCTGAGCTATCTGGCCGTGGCTGTGTGGTGACTGCTGTAGCCACTCCTCCTTTAGGGTCCCAAGAAACTTTCTCCCACCTGAGGTTATCCCAGTGCAGGCCTATAGAAGCCAATGCTCCTCAAGTGACTTCCCCTAAACTTTACACTCCTTCAGCATCTGATGCCTGACTCCCAGATGAGATTCTGAGTCATTTTTATAAAAAGCTTTTATCAGGTGACATTCAAGGATATAGTCATGATATTCTCCTAGGCTATAAGTTTTATAGTCTTTCTGTGGTGCTGGGGTTTGAACTCAGGGCTTTGTGCTTGCTACTGCATGAGTCATGCCCCTAGTCCTTTTGCTTTAGTTTTGTTTCCTACAGAGTCTGCACTTTCCCCAGGGCTGACCTCAGAGTCCTCCCTTCCCATTTATGTCTCTCATGTAGCTGTGATTACAGGTATGGGTCACCACAAAGGCCCCTTATTTTGTAGCCTTTTCCTGTTTTCAGACAATCAACCATTAGTAGTAGGTATGAGTCTAGAAGACTGTTTTTGCCCATGCAACTTTTCAGTTTTATGGATCTTTGTTGTCTGAGTGTCACAGTGAACCGTTGTTCTCTTGGCTCAGTCAGCCCAGCTGTCTAGTTGTGACTGCTGATGTCTGCACTAGCCATTTAACTGTGGCTGTTCAGCACTGGAGACAAGCTAAAGTCAGGACTGCCTGTCCTGTAATTGGACTGACCAGGCAGTCATAAATGAGAAATGTGTGGTGAAAGGGTGATGTTTGGGAAAGAGTAACCAACACTAATTGTTGGGCATTGCCCATATGCCATCGTATACCTGGCTTAACTCAGCTGTGACAACATCCTCACTGGGCAGTCTTTTTTTTTTTAAATACATTTTTTAATAGGATATATTTGTTATGGGGAGGGAGGAAACTCATAGTGACATAGGCCAGCCTTGTTACCTGCCTGCTGCCTATAGGGAACCTAAGGCCCAGAAGTTAAGTGCTGGGTTAGGATTTAAAGCCAGGTACTGTCCAGAACCTGTACTGTAAACTACTATAGTCTGTTATTTTTCTATTACAGTTCATACCAAAAGTCAGTGGTATATATTTTATTAAGTAGTCAGTTTATTCCATTTAAATATGTGGTGCCATTTTGGAAGTAACTATTAGAACTGTGGATAGCCTTTTCTTCCTGTCCCACTAACTTCACCAAGCCCTAGTGTGACCGTGCTACTGCTCATAGAGAATTAGCCAGTGCTCTTAATTAGCTCAGACCTCTAATTAAATCTGTAGACTTACACTATGTGGAGTCCTTGGGGTGGTGTTCTTGGCTGTTTGCCATGATTGGCAGTGGGCAGAACTGCATTCACTGTTCAGCAAGCAGTGACATTCTGTGTTTGACCGGCCTTCTGGGCTGGGAAATGGAATTAGGGATGGGAGAATGGCTATCTGAAGAGTTTAGAAAAAGTGTGACAAGCTATGGTATTTGAAATGCTGGAATTTGAAACTTGTTTATGGAAACTTTTAGCTTAGTTTTATTTTTAAGATATTTATGGCAGATTATAGCTAAGGAAGTGTGATGGTCTCATCGGGAACCCAGAGAGGTAAAAATAATTCTCTGTAATTAAAATTCAGTTCAAAACCAAAAACCAACCAATCAAAAAAACCAAAAAAAAAAATCCCTGTGTTATTCAAATAAATAACTTCTGTATAAATACAAAGGTTTGTTTTTGTGTTTTGCAGGGCTACATTCGACAGTGTCGCAAGCACACGACAATGTTCACTGTTGCGCAGCTCGCCACTATTTTTGGAAACATTGAAGATATTTACAAATTCCAAAGAAAGTTCCTGAAAGACCTTGAGAAACGGTACAACAAAGAGGAGCCTCACTTAAGTGAAATAGGATCCTGCTTTCTTCAACATGTATGTCAGCACTTCTTTATCAGTAACATCTGGTTAAAGAATGAGGCTGAAATGTCCCCACTAAAAATGGGCTCCTGTACTGCCTTAAGCAGATAGGACTATCTTCTTTCTCTGTTTTACAGATGAGGAAACTAAGGCCCAAGTCACACACTCAGGGGTAGCAGGAGTGTGCCAGTAACTACCTCAGAGTGTTGCTGTGACAGTGACGGGGCTGTAAAGCCCTGGTGACTGTTACTATTTAATACTAAAAGATTTTGGAGGAGGAAGATTTTATTTCTAGACACAATACTTAGCGATCAATCACAGTAATAATAAGAATGAGAGCAGAACTCCCCTACTTCCCAAATGCTTAGACCAGTGGGTTTCTAGGGGCAGCAGGGCTAAAGCTGGTCCTGGGAGATAGGAGGGCCTGAAATCACTGAGCATGGTGTTTGGGTGGGAATGCAGGGGAAGGATAAAACCCTGGGTGGGAGGCTGTAGATCCACATGGGCAGGCAGTGGGTTACTTTGAGGAAAGAGCTAGAGAGGCCACTGAGGAGGGTGCTGTGCTTGGCCCAGCGAGGTGATAGCATGAGAGATGAGGGAGATGAGATTTGTTGAACTGGGCATTTTTGAAGAAAGTCTAAGAACACTGGTTGTAGGCAACAAATAAAGAACAGCAATCAAAACTGCCCGAGCGGTTTCAGGTCTCAGAGGATGAACATATGGGTTAGGAAAATGTGTTTTCTGGGGAAACAGAGGCTTGGTTTTACACATGCTGCATTTGAGTACACACAGGCCTATGGGGTCAAGCCAGGCAGGGCAGGAGGGAAGGGCAGCTCTGGAGAGGGGTGGACACCGGTGAGGGGGTGGCCCAGAAGATGGGGGTGGGGGAAGGCCACGGTCAGGAATGTGGAGCAATGCCCAGGGACAGGGCCTTTTCTGAAAGCTAGTGCCCACACAGCCTTGGGATGGGGGCGGGGGCAGGGAGATGGGCAGCAGCGTGGCACTGCCTTGAAATGAGAAGTCTGGGAGAAACAAGTGGGCCTTTCCGCTTGTTGGGAGTGACAGGTGGAGAGTTAGAGGAGACTTGTTGGGAGAATGGGGACTTTGTGTGGTACTTCCTGGCCAGGATTTGTTAGTGAAAGAAGAAAAGAGAAACAGGCTGGAGATCTGAGCCTCAGATAGGCGTCCTCCCCATCTCTGCTGCAGACCAGACCCTACCCTGACAGAACCAGGTGGCCATCCTCAGGGTCATGCCCTGTCCAGGAGTGTCCCCTCGGCCAGTCCCAAGCCCCCACACTCTGATGAGGCTGCTTTTCCTTCCAGCAAGAGGGCTTTGCCATCTACTCCGAGTACTGCAACAACCACCCTGGCGCCTGTGTGGAGCTGTCCGAACTCATGAAGCAGGGCAAGTACAGGCACTTCTTTGAGGCCTGCCGCCTGCTGCAACAAATGATTGACATTGCCCTGGACGGCTTCCTCCTCACGCCCGTGCAGAAGATTTGCAAGTACCCCCTGCAGCTGGCCGAGCTGCTCAAGTACACCACGCAGGAACACAGGTGAGGACACTTGGGCCCAGGGGGCCAGAAACCAGTGCTTCTGGAGGGGTAGGCATGGGTGGGTGGAGTGTCATCAGCCGCTGACATGGAGCATTGACTAGGCTCTAGAGGGCCATCTGCAAAGATGTGAACTTGGTATAGCTCTTACAGAGTCACAAGTACACTGGGGTCTTATGGTCATTATCCGTATAGATATTCCTTTGTGGTTATTCAGTGGTTAATTAAACACTTTCTAGAAGAAATAGTGGTGTTTGACTACAGCGGCCCACCCTTTACCTGAGGAGGATACTTTCCAAGACTCCCGGCAGGTGTCTGACACATCAGGTCGTACTTATATGCTATATGTGCTATGTTTTTCCTTTGTTTTTCTCTTGGCAGTACTTGGGTTTGAGCTCAGGGCCTCACACTTGCTAGGCAGGTGTACTTGCCTGCCCCCAGCCCTTTGTGCTTCAGTTATTTTTTGAATAGGGTCTCTCAATTTTTCTAGAACATGATCCTCCTATTTGCATCTCCCACATAGCTAGGATGACTGACAGACATGAGCCACCATGCCCAGCTTTTTGGTTGAGGTGGAGTCTCACTAACATTT